AGTTTCATGATTCTTTTTTTGTTGGAAAGGGCGTACTTCCATAGTGGTCCCATTTCATTTTGAAGAAAATCATCCACATCGAAGGGTGGCTGTTCACGCATGTAGATTCATTTTTATAAATAGCGCCTAACTTTAATTTAGGAGCAATTACTTTAATGGTTGATTTTGCTATTTCGCCAATTCAAGGCGTTTTTCTCTCGATATACTTTGAGTAGTGAGAATCGATTTTTATTATCTCCAGTGTCAAGTCCTGTATAGTGGCGAATTAGGGGATATTTCAATAAAACTTAGCAAATAGACGTAATGCCACGTACTTTTGAGGTAGGTTTTTTTAGTACTCTGTACTGAGATTATTTTCTTCCGTGCTTCACGGCCTACTATAATATACATTTTACTTACCAGGTTTCCGTACAGGCGATGAATTTTATCGCTACAGTTTGCAATCTTCGTATACTGCCTCCTTACCGATTTCGAATAAAAAGCCTTGTCCATGTTAAGCATCAAACATTTCACAGCATCGTATATGTAATAATGTATCAAAATTTGTACAATAGATATTACGTCCGTGCTGAATTGTACAGCACAATGAACTCCATTATGAATATAGCCTATATAACAAGTATCAATTTCACAATAAATAACGCACACAGAAATTTTAACCACATAGATAATTGTATTGTACGCAATAAGTATAGCTAAAATTTTATTCTCTTTATTCAACATTATTTTCGCATCAATTGTATACATGTCGTTGATAAAATGATAAAGGTTGTATTCGGCGAGATTTAAACATAAAAAGCGAATTATTTGTTGGACAAATGCAATAAGGAAATACAATAAGTGAAATTGAGATTTTTCCTGAAAGAATACTAGAGGTAAGGCGCATACTGTCAATATGACTATTATAGTAATAATGCTTAGGAATTTAATAAAAGAGCGTCGTGATTTGTTAATAATGTTTGTAAACCCAAAATCGAGGCCAAACCCGAAGAGATAAGCGAGAAAGAAATATTTATATAATTTCGGAATTTTTCTGCCAGATTTCATTTCCATAAACATGTTTATTCTAACTGTATTGCCGTTATTCATTTTTATGATTTAAACGTTTAAGTTTAGATATAAATTGACTTTTATTGTGATTTGTTAAATACGTAATTATTTAAGATGTTGAAATAAAACAATTTTAAAATTGACTTATTTCGACGACGGTCACTTTCATATTGAAACTTTAGAATTTTATAATGTAATGGCATTTATAATCAAAACTTCAAGTTTTGTTTGTGAAAAGTACTTCGATTGCTTATAGACATTAATACTGTAGACATTAATATCATTTATTCTGTTGTCATGTGACAGGGCTACACTACGTAATGCAATTAATAAAATGGGAGTTTTCCAGCACTTTCGATGTAATCAATAGAAATATTTGTTTTAATAAAATTAAACTAGGTTTAACTTAAGCCTGATCTATCACTAAGCTCTGGCTTAGGCGGCGCACAATGTCAAAAGTTACTGGAATAAAATATTATTATTCGATTAGAACCAACGTCTGTTGCCGTGACAGGGCCACCGCTTTTTACCAATTGAGCTATAAACCGAGTCAGCAGATGTTACGTATTTCCCTACGTGTTTGTTACAGATTTGTGAGAAAATTATGAAGTCTCTTCACTTTCATATGTTAAAAAGTTGAGCCTAAGAACGGCCAAACCATAAATCCGGCGCTGGATATAAAATGTTAGATTTTTTTATAATACCATGTGACGGGACGAACAAATTGTGCGCCTGGTCGTAATAGACACGCCTATCCATAACAGTTGCACTGCCTATCAGAGCTTTAAATTGCAAAGATCTTTGTTAGGGACACTACCCCTGCTTTGGCAGAAATATGTAAGGTAGTACTTCCCTGAGAATAAAAAACATTTACTTTATTGAATAATATGTATTATATTGGTTAATTATGTAAGCATATTTAACCAATTTTTCTTACAATATAATACAGTCGAGCTAGACACTTTGGAGTTTGGACAGTTTTTATTGGACTCGACATGGATTTGAACTGAAATCATAATCTCAAACTTGACGTATTTTTCACTATGCACCAGACCCCCCCAGTATGATGACATTTGAGATACGAAGTCCATTCAAATACCCCCATTCCTTCATTTATACTTCATTTATACTTTTTTATGTAACACGTATATTTTTTTAGATACGGCTATTAATAAAATAACTAAAAAGTGAACAACCTGTATGCACGTATATTTATTCCGTTTCCTTTACCTAACGATATAGGTAAATTCTAATTGATATATATATATATATATATATATATGTATATGTATATATATATATATATATATGTAAATGGCGGACTAAACTCAAGTAGGCGGAACTACGCTACGTTTACCAACGACTTGTACTTTATTTATTGTTCTGTGTTTGTGATTTATCTTTTCATTGTCAATATGTATAACATTATAAATTTGTTGCATTAGTTAGTGGATAATTTCAATAAATAATTTTATGTCACAATGGAATTGTCTTAAATATAATGTAATTTGTAAATAAATAAATATAAAATTATGTAAAATGCCTAAATTATAGTTGTGTAGTAGGAGGGGGTATACAAGGTGGTAAAGATTCGCTCGGCTAGCTAGTGCCCCCTTATTACGTCCAAGAATCAAACGACGAAATTTGGTGAAGAGGACTTGGTTTATTGTACAACAGCTTACAATACAAGGGCGTCCAATAAAAGGAATTCGTCCCGTTGGATGCAAGCCCGGCGCAGAGTCCGCGCAAGTTCCGGTGGGTGCGAATATTACAATAAGACACTCACTCAGAGGTGTTCTCGTAAACTGTCCCGAAAGATAAGCACGAGTTTGAGATGCTTCCGCTTAAGAGGGAGCAGAGGAAAAATTCCTAATCTTCGATTTGATTTTAGAGGGGTATATCCACTTTAAAGTTAAAAATAAAATATTGTATGAGTAACTACACGATATAATCAAGCATAGACACTAATCAGAAACATAAAACAATAAAGTTTCCTCGATAGATAAAAATCACGAAATGACCTCTAATTTTCACATTTTTTCGATTCATCTTTGAAATGCTACAGGTTATTAGGACAAAAATTAGATAATTAATTTTATTTATGCATGATCGAGAACTGTCACTACGGATTTTTTTAATCCCTTTAGTTTTAGAGTTATTCCGCTAAGTCGAATTTGGTACTTTTAATGCGCAAAATTCAACATCTCCTGTCGCATGTCACGCGAACTTCAGGCATATATTTGTCTCACAAATGTGGACGGAGCCAACGTCAAAACTTTTTTGGCATGCTCCCTCTTAATAGTGAGGAAAACCGAAGAAATGCAATAGTTGAATCGATCAATTTCATACAAAATACTAGTGACAGGACCGGTCATTACTTTAGGGAAAATCTTAACACCGCGTTTCAGAAATTGCGTTTTCTACGCCAATGCCATCTAGCGGTAAACTTCGGAACTGTTTTCACTAATGTTGCCAAAGTTATTGTGTTACAGTTGCACATTTTTATACTTTTTGACATTATTATTATTAATATAATTTTTAACATAAATGAATAGAAATGCTATTGTATTAGAACGGTCCTATGAAAATATCTGTATGTACGACATAATTAACAAATACCTATATAAATTTCATGAATGTTGTCACAACATTGTTAATATTTTTCTGGTGCCTTCTTAAATTACTACGACTACATCCACTTGTTTGAACGTGATTTATACTAACATCGAATATAGTTATAAGGCTATTATAAATAAATTAGCGCTAAATCACTACGGCCAATTGGCCACTTTTAATATAACTGTTGATAAAATACCAAAGAAAATTATAGTCGGCATAAAGTATATTAAAGAAATAATATAATATTTAATGACGAATATATTTATACAATTCTGTTACTGTAACTGTTAATTGTACAAAATAAAAAAATTAAAATGCAGAAAGCTATTGGTACAATGTCATTTAGTCATACTACATCGTACAACGTTGCAGTTGTTGAAATTCGACAATCAATCTTTACGCTTTAAATTTTGTACATTTCTATCACAGGTGGCAAGCATCAAAGATTCCAGTTTTGGAAACCCACAAAACTATATTTCGACAATCAAAATATTATTACCCTCTTCGCTACCCATTCGCTCTAGTATAACAAGTTTAAAAGCTGTTGCATTGTAGTTGAATACCTGCACCGGGACCGCTGGCCCGCATAGCTGTATCAGAGCTTGCGCAAAGGACGATGTCAATGCAATACGCCAGGAAGGACGCCTGAAAATGGGACCAAGAAATTTCAGATGCAGAAAGTCAAAGGCATTGTTTTAATAAATAAAACGTTTAGTTAAAATAAATATGAATTGATTACAGTCAGCCATAACAAGGAAACTTGTAAAGAGCTTTACGAAATGTTGGTTTATCGAGATTTTTTTGTGAAATATTTAATTCAATTTTCAAAATATTTATTTCAGATAACAAGGATCCATTGGTGTTAGTAATAGAAAAATAAACTTATAAGCTATTGTTAGTAGGAATATTAAAATCTAAAATGTCATGTACTTACGAGGCATCTCGTGCGGAATCATTGTCCGTACGAGATGCCTCAGTACAGGCGCTCTGTGGTCCTCTCCCACAACCTTCAGGATGCTCTAGTTACTCCCCCGGACCCTTCTAGCCAACGATGCTACGCGGACGCTCTGCAGTACCGGGGTAGTCTCAACATCATCCTGAACACGTTATTATATTGGACGCGCAGGGAATTTTGGGAACACCTTAACCACAAGCCGCTCGTGTACAGACCCTTTTTTTTACGGGGGGAAATCTTTATAGATACCCCTGAACCCAAGGAGACTCAGGGATTATGTGGACACGCTCCTTCCATACTGGAGGGCCTACCTCACTAAAACCCCCCCGGGTTTACCTCCCGCCGATTGAGTCGGCGCCGCGGTGTCGGTGCACATTCACCACGACGCCGCCCGGCTCGTGTACAGACCCTGACAATACGCTTTGAAGAGGGATATTTTGACTTGATCCGCACAGCGGGCAAACCTGCGGGCCAGCATATTCCCGCGTATCGCCAACGCCCTGCGCTCCCTCTCGACTTCGTCATCACCTTTAGGGTCGTTGGTAAGAATATGTCCGAGGTATTTAAACCGAGACACCTGTTTTACACTCATGCCATTTAGTGTAATCGATGGAAAGGTGTCTGTACACTTACCGGCGGCCTTGAAGACCACGAACTCACATTTTTTAACGTTGTATGTCAATCCGTGTGACGCGGCGAAGGCCTCACAGACTATCAACATCTCCCCAATAGACCTTGCGGTCGGGCCCAGCAGCACCATGTTGTCCGCGTAGCTGATGTTGTTTACACAAACACCCCCCACACGGCATCCGACACACATACTGCTGAGCCTGACTATTAGATCCTTAACATACAGGTTAAATAGCTTTGGAGACGATAGCCCCCCCCTGTCACACGCCTCATTCAAACCCGTATGCCTGAGAGAGATTTTTGGACCACTTACCTTGGTTGGTCTGATTCTTGTACCAATATTTTAAAAAATTCACTAGTTCAGCCATCATACTCCTGTCCTCCATCTTAAATGGATAACTCCACTACTTTTATTATATCATTATGAAACAAAGATCGAACATAGATTTTTTTTCCGTCGACCCGGTGGGATTAGAACCCACGTCCATACTGCACCGTAGCACTGCTCTTACCATTTGAACCAAAAAATATAATTTTCTGTGCATTTGATCTTTGTATTCCAACAATCAAAATATACGCGATTTTAAATCCGGAAAAATAGTTTTCGGGTTCCGGAAAAAATAGGGTTCGCTGTGTAGAAATTAATTTACTTTTATTTTTATTTACATGGATTTCCGCAAAGTAACATGAGATGAAAGAAATGATAACAAAATTTTGAACGTTCCAGACAGTGACGTACAATCTTTCAACTTCTCTTATAAACTTCAGTTGTTTGTGTCCCCGGACGGTGTTCGCACGAACCACGCATGCAACTCCGCCTAGGGTTCCTGCTTTGTTCAATATTCGACTATGTCCGTGACGCCGATATGCTCGCCGACAAATTACCGAAAGTAATATGTAGTTTTGATTTTTTTTAAATAACTGTTTGACATGATCATAGTATTCTTAACATTTTTTATTATTAATTCAATATTTTATTTCCTTTATTTTTTTATTGTTCACGTTGTAATTTTATGCATTTAATTTGTACCTTGTTAATGTGATACCTACTGTGAACTCCCAATGTATATTTTTGAATAAATAAATAAGATATGTATATATTTATATTTTGTATTTCGTTTTCGGAAGCAATAGTCCGTCTCTTGCAACTTGCGTTCGTCATAACGTTTACTACCGTTCCGGTAACGTTCGTTTATAATAGAAAATAGACAAAATAGAAAAAAGTTTATTTTTTGCCAACACAAATTAGAAAATTGTTGTTAAACATACATTAATAGTTGTATTAGTTGATTATACTGTGGATTCCAGCTGATGGCTTCCAGGCGGACATATGACTTAGAAGGTAAGCATTTAACAATTTCAAAATGTACGTGTAGTGTGTGCGTGCGTGTGTGTGTGTTAGTGTGTGGTGTGTTTGTTTATAATTAGAGGTGGGCGTTTAAACGAAAAGCACTTAAAAAAGGCCTGCTTTTTAAAATAAGCGCATAAGCAAGCTTTTTATTTTAAGCGTAAGCGTTGGTCGCTGGCCATTTCTATAGATACTCAATAATTTCATTTTTTACAACGTGCCTAAGTTTCAAGTAGCGCCATCTATGTTTCCTAAACAAATTAATTCAACATAACGTTGCAAGCTTTTTTAAACATAAAGTCTATGCGCTTAAACGTTTTTCTAAACGACTTTTTAAGCGTCAAATTAAAAAGCGTTTAAGCGAAAAGCGCTTTTACAAGCACGCTTTTTAAACGTACGTTTTAACGTTAAAAAAATAAGCAGTTTTTTCCATTTCAACAGTTAACAACCACAAAAGTTAAACAACTTATGTTTTTAAACGCCAATGAACAAAATGTTAATATAATTATGTTATGTCATAAATAAATTCGTGTTTTACAAAAAAAAAACTTACTTATCTTAAAACTTTTAGTTGTCTACTCTTGCGTTCCGCTGTTAACACAACAACGTTGCAAGCTTTTTTAACATACAAGTCTATGCGCTTAAATGTTTTCCAAACGATTTTGTTAGTTTCAAACTAAAAAGCGTTTAAAAAAGCATAACGTTTAAACTTTAAAAAAAAAAGCAGTTTTCCCCATCTCTGTTTATAATTAAAGCGAAACTACTTAACTCAGAATATATGTAAAGTACTTATTGAATACAGCGGGTTTTCTTGTAAAATTTCCGAGTTTGTGATTTTTTCTATCGTAAAAATATTTAGGAATCATGTTTTCACGCCATATAGAAATTAGTATATATCCTCAATGTTACTATATATTTTCCACAAAGAGATTGATTTAACATTTTCACTGTTATCAACCAAATCAACCAAAACCATTAGATATTGTCATTGACTTACAAATAAATGGACGACGGGTCTAATACAAAAACCACGAAAAACGTCGCAAGTCAACCTATTTAAACGTAGCGACATGTAAAGGAATATGAAAAAGCTAAAACGTTGAATTTAAATTGTAATGTCATCGCAGTACTGTCTAATTTTGCTTGCTTCGCTGTCAGTCGAACAAACGAAGACTAAAGCGTGAATGACGCTCTGTATACGATTATAAAGCCCTATAAGTTCGGACACTTTTTAGCGCGGACCCGACGTCCATATAATTTTATTGTAAGTCAATGGATATTGTATCAACTTTTAATACAAACATGTTATTATTATATTAGTATTCAAAAAAATATGAAGTACACGTATTCAATTATAAATATGCATAAACTGTACGAGAACAATAAAATACGCGTTACAAAAGTTGAACAAAATGGCGATAAATTGAATATCAACAGGTAATATTTTAAACACTCGGGGATGTAGCCGACGAGACTCGATGTAATGAAGGAGATTGGCGGCTTCTAGTTTCTTTGCTGCATCTGCAATGATTTATTAAAACTCAGTGCAAAAATCTATAACAGACACATTGAAGAATCTTGTCGGATTGGTAATTCAACCTGTAGCTCAGTTGGAAGAGCGATAGGGACGAAAGCGCGTAAACTTTGTACTTTTGAATACATTGAAAAAAAAAAAGGAATTGATACTATATTAATGGTTAGCGAAATCTTGCGTTTACCCAAATATCTCTTATTATCACAGCAGAAATGTCAAATTTACGCTATGGTACAATTTGTGCAATCACTATGACAAATTTGTAAGCAATGTTTGCCATGCATCACCCAGTTTGACATGACAACATTTTGCACCCGTCACGGAAGAACGGCGTAAGTGGAATTACGTCAAAGATGTTTATATTTATATATCACGTTAGTTATGATGAGGAGAGCAGTATCTAAATGAAATTGGCATCACCTTCTTCCTCATTTAATCGATAATGCAAATGAAGCGTAATGACTTCCACCTCCTTGTTGACCATTTCAACCATCACTGCTGGGGCACATATCTGTAATGCCGTAAAAATCGCAAAAATCGTTTGTGCTTGATAATATATCCACATCATCTGAAATTTAATTTCAATTTCGTAAAATTTATAATTGGGCTTATCTTCCAAGTTTGCGTGGCGGAGTATTTTAGTAATCGTTGCATAATGAGGGTTTACGCCACAAGGCTTTGCCGAGCGGCCTAAAGCCGAATGGCCTAAGTCAGCGTTTCCCATTTGGTAGGTCGCAAACCGGTACCGGACCATCAAAATAAAATACCGGGTAGCAACATTCCCGCTTTGTTGAAGTGGAACCAGACCTCAGGATAAAACTTTCGTCGTTTTCCGCGAACTTGGATGCTTTAATTAATATTAATAAAACATTTTTACTAACAATAAATGTGTATTATTTTACTTCATGCAACCAGCTTGGATATAAAAGTATTGAGTGGGTCACGAAGAAGCAGTATGAAAATTGCCGGAACATGGCAGAACAATGTTTGGGAAAAGCTGACTTAGGCGATGAACACACTACACCGCGCCACGCGACGGTGCGCGGGGGACGAAGATTTGCGTCAACGCGCCACTAGACTGTAGCTGTAGCAGTCTAGTGGCCCCGTGCCACTTAATGTACTCGCTTCGTAGTTGATCGCTGTAGTGATTGTACATGTAACTGCGTTCCTTCTTTGACAAGAATGGTTAATAACACAGAACTCATTCAGGACGCTGCAGTTATACTGTATATTTGGTTATTGTTTACTCAAATAAAAAGACACCGAAGATATTGGATACATCCTTTTTTTACGAATCAGATCGATAAATAGATTATTTCAACTTCACTATAAAGATTTAAGAAAATATAAAGACACATTTTTCAACTACACACATATGTCAACTGAATCCGAGATCCATTGTAGAAAACTGAACACATCATCGTAATGATTGCATACAATACTTTTTCTACGAGTAAATAAAATTGTGAAACGTAAGCAATATAATTAATAAGCTTAGAATAATAACGCATAGACACCTAGCCCGCACACCCTAAGTTAGGCAAATTGAAGCGCTCCCAATGGGCTTACACGAGCGGGCGGGCCTTCAGTGCTCAAGGTCAACTTGCACCGCGAACAGCACAAGAATTTTAGCTAAAAATGAGGAAACGTGCGGTAAATGAGTGTAAAAATACGTCAGACAAACATAAAATAAATACTAACATCACATTCCACAAGGAAGTAACGCGTTTCAACTTGTATTTTTATATAAATATTCACTAAAACCGAAAATTAACCTGAATTTGATTTTTGCCTCACTTGTGACAGTTCATTTGATATGAAACTATCATTCTATGCGTTATTATTCTAAGTTAATAAGAATATTTGGTTAACAGTCCATGACAACAAAGGCAATGAAAAAAAAAATGTTAGCCCATTTATTAGGGTAGTCAAAGGTACCACCATACAACCTCTTCACATACTCGTATTTAGACAAAACCCAAACAAACGCTACAAAACAAAAAACTAAAGAGATAGAATAGAACTGACCAAGTGCCGCTTATATTTTAACAAATAATTTTTTTAGAAATATTTATGGCTCGGTTACAAGATTTTTGGGCCAATTGAACCAGGCGGACTCGAACCAGAAGGCAGTATAGGGTTTGAATAGTATCCAAATTGATATTATAATCTTCGACGTTCTTTTTTTGTAACTCATTATAGTTCTGTGTACATAACTTTATTGAATTTTTTCAGCTCAGTGGCGAGT